TATTATTTCTTTGCATTCCTTTGCCTTTTCTTATTCTAAATAAAGCCTGTTCAGTCCAACCTGACCAGTTGAATGAAGCAGAAACTAAAAGAGATTTGGATGGTACAACTAATGGAAAGGAATTCATGTTTGAAGCCTGAGCTCCTGGTGAAATGATACGCAGAACAAGTCTGATTTAATTTTATACAAACTCATCAGTTCCCATTCAAGTCCACATCCACTCCACACACAGGCCTAAAGCTTCTGGCACACAGAGCTGCGGCGGGCTAATTCTCCGTAAGCTAWTCCCCAAACAAACATTCGCAAACTCTCACAAACACCAGACAGGGGAATTTCCTGGGGAATAAGCTCGGGGGGCATCAGCAGTATTCCTGGCCAGGAGTCACATCATGACTGAGGGGACACAGAGYTGGAGAGGGAGGGAGAGATAGAGAGAGAGAAAACAATGAGGGTGATGGAGGAATCAACAGCTGACCTCATTGTTCCAGAAAGATCCGCCTSTTTGCACAATCCCCTATGCAAAGTGGGCATGGAAGGCTAGATGGATGGGTTGGGAGAGGAAGATGTATAAATGCAGAGCAGGAGAGCAGAGCAGCACCCACCTCAACCTGAGCTTCCCTCGCGCCTTCAGTCCTCTCAGCTCTCAAAGAGTCTCGCCATGGATATCTCCATTCAGCATCCCTGGTACCGCAGGGTCTTCCCAAACCGCCTCCCTGACTTTTACTTGGCAGAACAGCACGCTGACTGGCCTCTGACAAGGCCCTGGCCCTGGAACTTCTTCCGGATGCACCCGTCATTCCCGCACTGGCCTGAAAATGGACACACTGAGGTAGAGTACAGCACTCCTGCTGATACAAACTTTACTTGAGTGTTTTCAAAATCAACGTCACAATGCCACTAAAGATATATTCTCATAAACTGATACAGTTAGTTTGTGTCTATTTAAGCGTCTTGCACTAAAGTGATGATAACATCTGTGTTCTCCTTACAGATGCGCATGGAGAAGGATCGCTATGTCATTTATCTGGATGTGAAGCACTTCTCGCCCGATGAGCTGTCCGTCAACGTCAGTGACGACTTCATCACTGTCCACGCCAAGCATGAAGAGCGACAGGTCAGCGGGAACCTGCAGAAGTCTGCTCGAACGGTAAGCAGCAGAACAAAACAAKGCTCCTAACGCAACGACTAATTCTGCTTTCAGGACAGTGACGGCTTTGTGTCAAGAGAGTTCCTCCGAAAGTACAGGCTTCCATCTGGCGTGTCGACGGCTGACGTCACCTCCAATCTGTCACCTGATGGCGTGCTGACGATCACAGCACCGCGGTCGTCTCCTGGACAGGAGCACAGCGTTCCCATTACTTTTGACAACGGAAAACAAAAACACAAAAATGTCGAGTAGAGTCCGACAGCCTCTGAAGCTGTTTTACTGCTAACTCCTGATGCTATTTTGTTTTTATGTTGGCATTTCAGCGCACATCTTAATCTGGAACCGTTGAATCAAAGAACAAGTGCCGTTTAATAAAAGCTGCTAACTTCTAACTTTGAAGGCTCAACAAAAACGTGATGCCTCTATAACAAGTGTATGTTTGATTTCTACAGACCCACAGAGATTTGCAAGATATTTAGCTTTAAAAATAAAGCACATTTACTTGTCGTAGTACAGCATTCTTGTTTTTCATGGGGTGTTTAGATTTAACAAGCCTCTGCAGGGTCTGCACTTTTAGAGGGGATATTCTGAGCCCAGAAGAAGCCAAACCAGCTTCCTAAATCTGCTAGATCCAATGATTCAGACCAGCAATAAAAGCTGAGACCTGAAAAATCCCCCCTGCGAAAAACAGCGAAAGTCTAAAACAGTCAAACAACAACTGCATCTACATGGTACAAAAACTGAGGAGTATGAGTAAGATGCCAACTATGTTCTCTGTGAAAACACTGCTGGGTTCTGTAAGTGTGAGGAGGAGGTTCTGAGGAGGCGTTGATGCGTTGTTTTAAATGCTTTATCAAAGAAAGTTGCTTAAAAGCGTCAGGCGTCTGCTCAAATGCGAGGGAGAAGCAAGATGAGCGAGTGGGCAGGTGACAGGATGATGGATGAGGACAGGACTAATATAGTTTTTATCACTGGGCTCATTCTTTTCTTCTTTGGGAACACAACCCATGCTGCTAATTATAGTGTTTTATGTTTGTGCTGTATGAGTGTCAGTGCATTTTTAGATGTAAGACTTGCATCTTTACTAGACTGACTTTTTGTTTTATTTACACAAAAGCACTAAATAGTCAAATAAATGTCAAAACTGAAATGAAATTCTTGTTGTGTGCCTTTGTGATTTCAAAATAATGTCATAGTTTACATCTGGAAAGAAACGTTTTTGGCTTAAAGTAGTCAGACTGGTTCAGGGAGTGGTGGTGCAGAGCTTAGAGAGGAAGCCCGTCATTGCAAAGTTGCTGGTTCAGCTCCTCAGACTGACAACAAAAATATAACTCCACATCAAATATATAGTCAGGTCAAAATGTCATGAGCACATTGTCATATTCCTGGCTTTTTAAGCTACATTTTGATACCTGGATCAACCTTGATATCACAAGCGATTCCAGAGATATGGCTTGATTTGTTGTTCTAATCAGGATAACTCATCGACATTTGGTCTGAATCCTATTTTCAGGTTATTTTAGTGAGAATGTTTTGGTGTCATTTTAAAGAGGAAACCTCAAATTATATTTGGATATTAAGAATTACAATCTGGAAAGAGAAAAAAAGCGGTAGCTCGCAGGTAAATAATGACAAAAATGTAAGGCTTTTCTGCTCAAATTTTTTTTGTTGCTAAAAATGCTTTAAAATTATTGATATTTCAGACATTTCATTCAAAGGATCCATTATAAGGTATTTATTCATTAAATTTTTACAAAATGCAGTTGTAAATGTTGTAACCTGAAAGACATTTTGTGACTGATCAACTGAATTTTAGATACAGCTTTACATCGTATACTTTATGTGTCTCCCTTCAGCAGTGTAGGAATAATGTTTAGATTTTTGGTCTTTCACACCCCCAGTAGTGTGACCAGGGTGTTTATGTGATGAGTTTGAACACCTAAGCAGAAGTTAGAGTACATATACTCAAACTCAACACTTATATTTTACTTTTCTGACCAGGATTTTGAGGTTATACTTAAACCAAACCATAACTGATAATGTTAGCCTGTCACCTGGGGTACCTCAGGGATGTGTTTTGGGGTCCGTTTTGTTTTTGTTTTGTGTACTTCAACAATTAACTACTTTTATGTTGATGACATCCAACTCTATGACTTCTTTAGTAGCTATGATTTTTGCCCTTTTTAAAATTTATTTTACCAATTGCAAAACAATTAAAAAGTCATCAGGTAAACTTTGATAAGACAAAATGGCTCACGTGATGAAGGGACATGGATTGGTCTATTTGATTTTTCTCATTTTATTGACTGAAGATCAAACTTAAATTAATCATTGTGCATTGCCAATGTAATGCACGCTATTATGATTCGTTTCCCATCCAAGTCATCTCCACTTTGGCATGCTTCTCCTCCTGCATGCTTTGTCCAAGAGCTGCCTTTGTAATTTATATCTGTAAAGCCCCTGTGCCAAATGATGGCTATGCCTTTTGGTGCCTGTAAAACTTACAGTTTATGAAATATTAATGTTTAATGAATTATAATGACAGTCAATGGAGCCTTGTATTGGTCCAATACTGCCCCATGCTGTACTCAATTTGGTACTGCACCATAGTTTAATATTTCAACTCAGTAGTTCAGTGTTTACAGTACTAATATGATTGTATTTTGATGTTTTACTATAATATGGTCTTAATACTGCTCGATTGTTGTAATATTATGCATTTTGTGTCAATAATTGTATTGGCAATGTGGCGTCTTTCTGCACACATACAAACCAACCCCTGCCACCACCTTCTGCCACAGCTCCATTGGTCTATTGGTCTAATGGTCTATGTCATGGACTTTCATGTGGGAGATCAGGGTTTAAAACCCAGCTAATGCAACTTAAACAAAAAATCGCTTCAAATTTCTTATTGTCACACAATTACCTTAATTACAAACACCTGCTGATGTGACAGGCACAAGCTGGTGTAGAAAACACATTTGAACTTGGTCAAAGTTCATTCTGCAAGTCCAATGCTGCAGGCAAAGCCATGCTGCAATGACATGCTACATGGCAATGCACACTTGTTTTTACATCGTAAAAACCCATGTCTAGTGTAACATTGTACTTAACAGTGTATTTTTTTCTAATTTTATTCTAATTGGGCTTTATTCTATTATGAAGCCTTTAATTTTTTACTGTAAAAAATGCTATCTATATTCACTAAAATATTTTTCATTATATTGAAAAATTATAACAAAAGTCAAATAATATTCACAGTAATAGTACACTTGGGATAAACTCTACTGCATGAATGAATGAATGAATGAATGAATGAATGAATGAATGAATGAATGAATGAATGAATGAATGAATGAATGAATGAATGAATGAATGGCCATCGGCTCTTTCTGAACACAGTTTCCTTTTAAATACAATCAAGAAGAAGAACTGGATGAAGTGTAGACACAGTTCATATGTCCTTTTTATTTCTTTTAACTCAGACAAGAACAGACCAATAAATTGTTGTAAATAAGGAACATCCATGCATGGTTTTCTGGTTTATTTCAAGTCTTCTGATAATTACATTTTGTAGTTATTGCATGTGCTGGATCAGTTAGTTATGATGAGTCATAAATCTGCTCTGTGTCCTGTCTTTGTCGGTAAATATCAGTTGCAGTAAAAGTCCCAGTTCTGGAGGATGAAGAAAACAGAATTAGGATGAGGCATCACATGATGACTGTGTGTTTATGAATACTTACAGTAGTTTTCACTTCAGTGCTGGGCGGGCTGAGGATATGTGTCTCCTCCACGATGGTGCTAGGAAAGTGGCCGATGCGAGCCTCCTGTTCTCCATAATATGAGTCCTGTACCTGTGAACAGATGATGGACAAACACCTGATGGCATGACTTCTGCTGCTGCTCACATTTTTTGACTTCAAAGTAACTTCTTTGGCATCCATCCATCCATCCATCCATCCATCCATCCATCCATCATAGCTACATACAGTGGTTTGCAAAAGTATTCATACCCCTTGAACTTTTCCATATTTTGTCACATTACAACCACAAACATAAATATATTTCACTG